AAAAAAAAAAATCAATAGATGGTGAATGTTCATTGGCATGGTGAATGCTGTAATTTCTGAGGCCTGTCATAGACGTTTTAATGATCATAACTCCACCTGAAATTCCAAAACTCAATGGTTATTTTGCCTTACAGTTAGTACCTTTGTGAAGCAGTGCTTTACTATCAAAGCTTGCTGTATTTATTATGCTTTTGTATAAATTTCTCTGTGTATCTTCTGCATTTATACTCTCAAACTAAAATGTTTTTTCCTCTTATTGTGAGTGCTGAGAAAACGTAGTGTAGGAATTTGACTGGAATGCACTGTGCAAATTGCCTCATGTATGAACAGCCAGCTTTTTGTATGCAAATTTCAATGCACAGAGCAAGATGACATCTAACATTACCAATGAATTGATTTCCTTTGTTCTAAGGCAGACGGTATTGAAATGAAGAAAACACTAGTTTGGTCACTGGTGCGTGCCTATTCATGTGCATCGTTTATTGTATAGTTAGAATTTATATGCATGGCTATAGTTAGCAATTATTTCCTTGTGTAATTGATAAACAACTGCATAATTTGACTTGCATTTTAATACCCCATTCCATTCTAGTTTGGATTGTACTATTGCCGGTTAATTAACAGTCTTTGTCTTTCACTTTTTCTATTCACAGTGGCTTCTGTGTTTGCAGCTCACATGAATTGGTTATTGATGGAGCTAAAATCAAAAAACAGTTAAATGATTTAAGTTCTGATTTTAAACAACAACTATGAAATTTTGTTTTCAGGGAATATAAAGTAATAGAACATATTATATTTTACAAAAAAAGACATAATTTGAAAGTCAGTGATCCAAGACAATGATCCATTTTGATCATACCTTTTTCTCTTTATAAACTGTGCTGTTGGCAGATTTAATGTTTCTTCCATTAAAAAGAAAACAATAATGCTATTACCGTGAATCGCGTTTGAAGAAATTCACAGTAAATTGAATTTAAGCATTGATTTCCTGTTAAGCCTGAGATGTATAGCTTTTACATTCGTTCATCTCATTTTAGAGAAAGCTCTAATGAGTCTGGCAATATTGTGCTGTAATACCTGTGTGTCATACAAATCAGTTGGTTCAGTGTCTTCATGACTCCTTAGGTAGATTAACGGTGGTACTGCAATTTAAAGATAAACCAAAGAGGTACTGATGTTTCTGTGCTTGGAATCTTGATATATCAAAAATTGGCACAGTTTTTCATTACATTCGTTGACCATAAAATGAATTCAGATGGAATGCAAAGGTGCAAATGCAGCCTACGGTCTGCGTCAACGATCATCTCATAAGGGAAGGAAAATAAATGGGTAGTGGTTTAATTAAAAGTGTGCTCTCCAAATGAGAAAGATGCAACAGTTCTCTTACAACACAATCTGTAAGTCAGTATCAGTCCGTTTTATTTGAGCAGGATGATTAAAATCATTCACATTCATCCTCTTCTGCACTTTTAAGACTATAATGCGATTCACGTGATGTTTATGTTAAGTTTTTTCAAACCTGTTTACCATATTTATTATTTTTCTCTGTTACTTGAATATATGGGGAAACCTCTGTAGATATTTGCGTGTGATGAACCTGATTTTGGTTTACTTGTATGTAGTAAAATAAAACTTTTACATGTGATGAATTTGTTTCTGATGTTTTGTAATGGCTAGCATTGGTGTTCTTATCATGCACCTCAGGATCTCAATACTGAATGAAAATCAGTAAATTGAATATGAATTGCCTTTCATGAAATAAGCTAAAATAAATTTTTATAGAAGCATTTATTAATGTAAAGGAACAAAGGAAGGGGTAAAATGCATGACAAAAAAGAGTGGATTTTATGAAGTCTCAAATCTAAAGCTTAATTTTCTCAATAAGAACACAGTTTAACCATATTTATCATGTTACTATCTTCATTAGCTCGAACAATAACAATTTTTTTGTACATTTAAACTTAGATGCAGAACAGCTTCAAAACGCTGGACTTTTACCCATGCATGGCAAAATATAATTACGTTATTTTGTTGGAAATAATAATATAATACATTTCAACTGAACACCATTATAAACAAAGTAATTAAATATAATAGCCTGTACAGCGAGCCCATTGTTTACCTTTATCGACAAGCGACTATTCATGCCTAGTTATTATCCCGCTCTACTCCATCTTAACTCGACAAGCGTGCCTGTCATATAGCGCACTTGAATGTGTTGTATACGTCAACTGGCAGTCAACCGAAATGGGACAAAATAGGATGAATGTCATTTTTCTTCAATCTGGGAAGCCGTGATATTTAGTGAGGTGAAAGGTAAAACGGTCTCGTTTAATTTCGCGATTCTTGTTTGAATGGGAGAGTTGTTTGCAGGCTGCTCAGGCTAACCGGATACCTTCGCTGTATGTCTGCTTGCAGCGCGCTGTGATGGTCATGGTGTTAATGATGGAATCGCAATGCGAGTACTTTATGTATTTCCCGGCCGTTTTGGTCACTGGTGCGTGCCTATTCATGTGCATCGTTTATTGTATAGTTAGAATTTATATGCATGGCTATAGTTAGCAATTATTTCCTTGTGTAATTGATAAACAACTGCATAATTTGACTTGCATTTTAATACCCCATTCCATTCTAGTTTGGATTGTACTATTGCCGGTTAATTAACAGTCTTTGTCTTTCACTTTTTCTATTCACAGTGGCTTCTGTGTTTGCAGCTCACATGAATTGGTTATTGATGGAGCTAAAATCAAAAAACAGTTAAATGATTTAAGTTCTGATTTTAAACAACAACTATGAAATTTTGTTTTCAGGGAATATAAAGTAATAGAACATATTATATTTTACAAAAAAAGACATAATTTGAAAGTCAGTGATCCAAGACAATGATCCATTTTGATCATACCTTTTTCTCTTTATAAACTGTGCTGTTGGCAGATTTAATGTTTCTTCCATTAAAAAGAAAAGAATAATGCTATTACTGTGAATCATGTTTGCAGAAATTCACACTACATTAAGTGTGACTAATTTAAGCATTGATTTCCTGTTAAGCCTGAGATGTATAGCTTTTACATTCGTTCATCTCATTTTAGAGAAAGCTCTAATGAGTCTGGCAATATTGTGCTGTAATACCTGTGTGTCATACAAATCAGTTGGTTCAGTGTCTTCATGACTCCTTAGGTAGATTAACGGTGGTACTGCAATTTAAAGATAAACCAAAGAGGTACTGATGTTTCTGTGCTTGGAATCTTGATATATCAAAAATTGGCACAGTTTTTCATTACATTCGTTGACCATAAAATGAATTCAGATGGAATGCAAAGGTGCAAATGCAGCCTACGGTCTGCGTCAACGATCATCTCATAAGGGAAGGAAAATAAATGGGTAGTGGTTTAATTAAAAGTGTGCTCTCCAAATGAGAAAGATGCAACAGTTCTCTTACAACACAATCTGTAAGTCAGTATCAGTCCGTTTTATTTGAGCAGGATGATTAAAATCATTCACATTCATCCTCTTCTGCACTTTTAAGACTATAATGCGATTCACGTGATGTTTATGTTAAGTTTTTTCAAACCTGTTTACCATATTTATTATTTTTCTCTGTTACTTGAATATATGGGGAAACCTCTGTAGATATTTGCGTGTGATGAACCTGATTTTGGTTTACTTGTATGTAGTAAAATAAAACTTTTACATGTGATGAATTTGTTTCTGATGTTTTGTAATGGCTAGCATTGGTGTTCTTATCATGCACCTCAGGATCTCAATACTGAATGAAAATCAGTAAATTGAATATGAATTGCCTTTCATGAAATAAGCTAAAATAAATTTTTATAGAAGCATTTATTAATGTAAAGGAA